CCCGGTGCCCCCCAGTGCCCCCCAAGCCCCCCTGTTCCCCCCGAGCCCCCCGGTGCCCCCGGTGCCCCCCGACTGACCGCGCGCAGGGTGAGCAGCAGCCGCCCGTAGCTGAGGACGATGACGGCCAGGGGGAAGCCGAAGCAGAAGGTGAAGAGGAAGAGCACGTAGGACTCGTTGTTCCACTTGTTGTCCGTCGTGTACCAGTCGGGGCCGCACGAGCACTGCAGCCCCTCGGGGATGTACCTGGGGGGGCCATGGGAGGGGATGGGATGGCCTGGAGACCCCCGAACTGCCCCCGGAACCCCAAATCCACCGCGGGACCCCCAAAGTCCCGACATCCCCCGGGACCCCAAACTCCCGACATCCCCGGGTCTCCCAGCCCAGCCCCTCGGGGATGTACCTGGGGGGGCGATTGGGGGAGGATGGGATGGCCTCGGGACCCCCGAACTGCCCCCGGAAACCCCAAATCCACCACGGGATCCCCAAACTGCCCCCCGGGACTCCCGAACTGCTCCCGGGAACCCCAAATCCACAGCGGGACCCCCAAATCCCTGACATCCTTCAGGACCCCCAACCCCCAACATCCTCCAGGACCCCCAGCCCAGCCCCTCGGGGATGTACCTGGGGGGGCGATGGGGGGGATGGGATGGCCTGGAGACCCCCGAACTGCCCCTGGGAACCGCAAATCCACAGCGGGACCCCCAAAGTCCTGATATCCCCTGGAACCCCCAACCCAGCCCCTCGGGGATGTACCTGGGGGGGCCATGGGGGGGGATGGGATTGCCTGGAGACCCCCGAACTGCCCCCGGGACTCCCGAACTGCCCCTGGAACCCCAAATCCACCACGGGATCCCCAAATGCCTGACATTCCTCAGGACGCCCCACCCAGACCCTCAGGAAGGTACCTGGGGGGGCCATGGGGGGGGATGGGATGGCCTGGAAACCCCCGAACTGCCCCCGGGAACCCCAAACCCCCGACATCCCTCAGGATCCCCAGCCCAGCCCCTTGGGGATGTACCTGGGGGGGGTAACACGGTGGGGCTGGGACGGCCTCGAGACCCCCAACCCCCCCTGTGACCCCCAACTCCCCTTGAGACCCCCAAATCCCATCAGACCCCAAACCCTCTTCAGACCCCAAACCCCCTTGAGACCCCCAACTCCCCTTGAGACCCCCAACTCCCATCAGGGCCCCAAACCCCCTGGACATCCAAACATCCCTGTGACTCCCAAATCTCCCCCCTGGCTCCCCAGCTTCCCCCAGAGCCCCCCAGCTCCCCCTGGGCCCCCAGCCCCCCCAGGCCCCCCAGCTCCCCTCAGAACCCCAAACCCCTGGGACATCCGAACCTCCCTGTGAGTCTCAAATCTCCCCAGGCCCCCCAAATCCCCCTGGGCCCCCCAGCCCCCCCTGGGCCCCCCAGTTCCCCCCAGGACCCCCCGTACCTGCTCCAGCCGAAGAGGGGGGGCGCGGAGGAGATGAGGCTGAAGATCCAGGTGACGGCACAGCCCAGCACCGCGTGGCTGCCCCGGAACGTGAAGTTGCCCAGGGGTTTGCAGATCACCAGGTACCTCTCGAAGGCCACCACAGCCAAGGACCACAGGGACACAAAGCCTGGGGACGGGGGACACGGGTCACACCGGTGACACCAGTGACACCGCTGCCATCACCCCCCTGTGCCACCCCCCTCATCCCCAGGGAGCACAGGGACACAAAGCCTGGTGACAGGGGACACGGGGGACACTGGTGACCCCCTGTGCCACCCCCCTCATCCCCAGGGAGCACAGGGACACCATCCCTGGGGACAGGGGACACGGGGGACACCGGTGACACCCATGACACTGCTGCCATCACCCCTCTGTGCCACCCCCATCACCCCCAGGGAGCACAGGGACACCATTCCTGGGGACAGGGGACACGGGTGACACGGGTGTCACTACCTCATTGACCCCCAGGGAGCACAGGGACACAAAGCCTGGAAATGGGGGACATGGGTGACACCAGGGACATCACTGCCATCACCGCCAGGGAGCACAGGGACACCATCCCTGGGGATGGGGGACACAGGGGACACCGGTGACACCACTGCCATCAACCCTCTGTACCACCCCCGTCATCACCAGGGAGCACAGGGACACAAAGCCTGGGGATGGGGGACACTGTGTGACATCACCCCACTGCCACCACCTGCATATCCCTGTGTCCCCACTGTCCCCGTGACCTGGTGTCCCCGTGTCCCTCTGTCCCCATGTCCCACACACTCACTGGCCCTGGCTCTGTGTCTCCATGTCCTGGTGTCCCCATGTCCCCATGTCCCCATGTCCCCATGTCCCCGTGTCCTCATGTCCCCGTGTCCTCATGTCCCCATGTCCTCGTGTCCTGGTGTCCCCATGTCCCCATGTCCCTCTGTCCCCATGTCCCCATGTTCCCATATCCCCATGTCCCCGTGTCCTGGTGTCCCCATGTCCCTGTGTCCCCATATCCCCATGTCACCATGTCCCCCTGTCCCCATGTCTCTATGTCCCCTTGTCTGATGTCCCCATGTCCCCAGGACCCTCTGTCCCTCTGCCCCATAACCCCAATGGCCCCATAACCCCAAATGCCCCCAATGTCCCCATAACCTCAATGTCCCAAATGTCCCCATAACCCCAATGACCCCAAATGTCCCCATAACCCCAATGACCCCAAATGTCCCCATGACCCCCAATGTCCCCATAACCCCCCACATCCCCATTCCCAATATCCTCATTCTGAATGTCCCCAGGCCATGGTGACCTTTTACCCCAATGTCCCCATTCCCAATGTCCCCATTCCCAACATCCCCATTTCCAGTGTCTCCATTCCCAACATCCCCAGGCCACGGTGACCTTCCATCCAACCTCCCCATTCCCAACATCCCCAGGTCATGGTCACCTTCCACCCAACATCCCCATTCCCAACGTCTCCATTCCCAACATCCCCAAACCCAACCTCCCCATTCCCACCATCCCCAGGCCACGATGACCTTCCACCCCAAAATCCCCATTCCCAACATCCCCATTCCCAACATCCCCAGGTCATGGTCACCTTCTACCCCAATGTCCCCATTCCCAACATCCCCAGACTCAACATCCCCATTCCCAACATCCCCATTCCAAACATCCCTAGGCCATGATGACCTTCCATCCAACATCCCCATTCCCAACGTCCCCATTCCCAACATTCCCAGGCCACAATGAGCTCCCACTCAATGTCCCCATTCCCAATATCCCCATTCCCAGCGTCCCCAGACCCAATGTCCCCATTCCCAATGTCTCCATTCCCAACATCCCCAGGCCACAGTGTCCTTCCATCCAACATCCTCAGACCCAACATCCCCAGGCCACGATGAGCTCCCACCTGACATCCCCATTCCCAATGTCCCCATTCCCAACGTCCCCATTCCCACCATCCCCAGGCCACAATGAGCTCCCACCCAACGTCCCCGTTCCCAACGTCCCCATTCCCAACATCCCCATTCCCAGCGTCCCCACAACCAACATCCCCATTCCCAACATCCTCATTCCCAACATCCCCAGGCCACGATGACCTCCCAGTCCCACCATCCCCATTCCCACCATCCCCATTCCCACCATCCCCAGGTCACGACGACTTCCCACCACCATCCCCAGTCCCACCATCCCCATTCCCACCATCCCCATTCCCACCATCCC